AAAATGCATGAATGCGAGTTTTAGGAAATAGTTCCCATGTAATGTTAATTTCTCCCAAATGTCCCTTGTACTTCTAAGATATTTCAGCTCTGCTGTTACACACTGCATGTGTTTATTCATGCTTTAAAGGTTATATTTCTGCTCTACATCTTCCCAAGTCTTTATTTGCAAATTTTTTTCCTCAGAGATATGTACTGGTCTATTGGTCGCATTTTGAAACAAAATTGTTTAGTCTTCTCACCCTTCAAGATTGCCCCTTCTTAAAGCAATAATATGGGAAATGCCCACAATGGTAGAAGCACCTGTGCTCTTGCACTCGTCATGGCAGAGGAGCCATGCACCTCCCACAAGATACATGACAAATGTCCTTGGTACTGGAAACCATTGCTCTATGACTGTTTGCACCACTTCTTTCAGGCCCCTGTCTTACATCTCTTAACCGCTATATTTCCAAGAGATAGAAATTTGAAACTTATTCATTCCACTGGACACTTCACACTCCCACAATTAACCAGAAAAGCCAAAGGACTTCAGACCATCTAAAATAGTTAACAAAATTATTATTGTTCCTCAAAAGTACAAGAGAAGTAAGTTTTCACAGTTACAGATGTTTTCATTCTTAAAAATGATTTCAACTCAATATTGCCTTAAAAATTCACAAAGGTAGCAATGTTCAAATCATGTGGTTAAAATAAGAAATGTTTCCTTTTTTGGTGTTTGTGTCAACCTATATGATCATGCAACTTTAACTGAAGATAATTCTACATGCATTTAGGTTATAAACTGTGCAACTATCAGCTCCTCTTCTTCTGTTCCTTCATAACAAAATCATTCAAATCGCTGAGGTGTGGAAACCCTATAAAGCTAAGAACAGGACTGTAGTTTCACCTACTCAGGATTGATTTTTCAAAATCAATGTTAAAAATGTGTAACAAAACTTTCCAAAAATATAACTATGGGAAAGGTTCAAGGTAGACTCTTGACAGGAAAAGAAGGGAGACTGTCACAGTAAAAATGGTGCTATAATGTCTTATTTATGAACCCTGTGAACAACATTCCTTCCATGGGTTAGTGGTGGGGCAGTACTAGAGTGCACTGAACTAACTCGGTGTTTCCCACTCTTTCTTTGTTCCTTTTCCTATTTAAAAATTTGGGAGAAAAATAATTGTGGGAAATCTTAATATGCAAAAAACTCTCAAATTTCAGGAAAATAGTTCTGTGATACTGTGGGGCTAAGTAGGTGAACAGAAGGTGTAAATTTAGGCTCCCTTCTCCACTTTCCTCTAAGTTCCTAGGGAGAGACACCTCCACTTCCCTGGCACTCAGCTCAGTGTTTTGAGATGATGCAATAAATTAAATTGTTTGCAAAGTTGCTATTTTAAAAATAGTATTGCCTATATTCTCTCACAAATACTATTTTATTTACTTTTTTTTTGGTAGTACTGTGGTTTGAACTGGGGGTCTCATGCTTGCTAGGTAGGTGCTGTACCACATGAGCTATTTGACCAGTCCAACATGTAATATCGTAATCACAGCTCAATACACTGAGCTTCTGGCTATTAAAAAGCTTTCCCTACCACCTAGAATGAGAAAAGTCAGGGATCAAGGACCAAACTTACCGCAATCACCCTGTTTTAATTCTTTGTTTTTCTCATTTTACTATCTTTGTGTTTGGAGGAGGTGGAAAAAAGAAACCTGGGAGATTATTAATAAAGAAAAAGGAAAAGTGGTCTGTCCATCCAGCATCTGCAAAAGGAAATACCCTTAAACTGTAGGTGCCAAAGTGAGGAACCCTGGGAGGAATTTAAAGAAATTCAGATAATTCAAAAAAAGAGAAATTCAGAAAATTCGCAGATTTTTAGAAGAAAGAAGACAGCACAGTGCTAAAAGTCCATCTTGATTTAAAGGAGTGTTTGTGTGACATTTTAAACTCATAAACCTACCAGCAGAGGGCTCCATGCGAGGTGCGTTTGCTTTCAACCATTGGACAACATCCCCTCTGTCTGAGGCTGAAACAAGGGGGTGTTGCTGTCTCTCATCTTTGCTATTAAAACCGAAATAAGCACGGGTGGAAGGGGAAAAGATGTTTCAAGCGGGCTTTGCCCTGAGAAAGCAATCTGGGCACATGGCAAAACGAAGTGAAGAAGAAAATGCTCATTTTATACTCTTTAATTCCTTTCGAAATCCAGAGTCGTTGTACCTCTGGATTGCATGCACTGGGTTCTTGAGGGGAGATTTACCTGCGTGGCTCGAATCGGTGCTAATGCGAAATCCAATAGAATGGAAGAGCAGAGGAGTTCAAGTCAGGAAAAATGTCCTCCGTAAAGACTGAGTTTTTATTTGCATATTTTGAGGATTTTAGATGCTGAAACAATCGTTTCTAAAATTAACAGGTGTTGTAGGAGCTAAACTTTAAAAAAAAATACTCTTAATTTCAGGTTTTCCAGAACCAGGAAAAAAAAAAAATGTGCAAAAAGAAATTCAGTTTGCTTCTACAAAATGCCGACAGAGGGCACTGCTGCCCGCTCAATGACAGGGAAGATTTTTCCTTGAAATTTCCAGGATTTTTCGACTAGGAACCACGTTGAAAAATTAACTCAAATTTTTGTTATCGTTTATATTTCTTTGTGTAGTACTGTAGGTATGTGTGCATGTATTTTTAGGTTTATGTTGCGTTCTTAATAAAATCAGATTAATTTTCAATTTTTTTCGTAAAGAACTTAAATTTTAACCAAATGTGTCAACACAGTTCTACTTTTAAAATACTTAATACTGGCATAAAATAAAATTACCTATGAAAATTTTGTAATTATACATAAGTAGGGCTACAAAATAGTGATGCTGACACAATATATTATATTTAAATAGTTGTGTATGCAAAATTATCCCTCCACCTTGCATTATCATATTAAACCTCAGAGTTTCTTTATTTCAGATTAATCAGTGATACACCAAAAAGTGATTTTAAAATGTAGCAAAAGCTTTTAGACATACACACACACACACACACAATAGATTTTTCCAAATGTTTTTGTTTGGCTGAAGATGATGTGGAGTTAGTTGCAGATTTGAAAGTCAGTTATTCCCATAAATATATTTGTGGCTGGAGAATCTGAATTTACACGTCTAGCATATCTGTCATTCAGACTCGATCTGGGGCTGATTTCAGTTCTAAAAGGGAGGTGTGGAACTAACTTCAAATCCTATATCATAATGAGACTCGGAAGACCGCTTTCCCATCTCTTAAAGCTGTGGAAGCAAACCCGAAAACCCTTGGTGATGTTCCTACTGGAAACCGGCGTGGGTTCTGTGGACTTAAGGTGTCAATATCGACAGAAGAGAGGGAAAGAAGGAGCAAGGGAGGGGGGAGGGAGGGCAGAAGGGAAGGAAAGGAGGAAAGAGGGAGGAAGGGAGAGGAAGGAAGGAAGGAAGGGAAGGAGGAGGAGGAGAAAGAGAAAGAGAAAAAAAGAAAAAGAAAGAAAGGAGGGAAAAAGGAAGGATGGTAGGAGAAGAAGGGAGGAAAAGACAAAACATAAAAATCCAAACTGGAAAGGAAGAAAAGGTTTATTTTTGAAGTCTCTTCAGTAGCACCTTTGTGTTCTTTTTATTTGGCTTATGACTTTAATATTTTTTGTAAATCTGCAGAATTGCTCCTTTCGCAACACTCAAAGTGTCTCGTAGGTTTTATGGGATCCTCATCCACCGCGGTTGTCCGCAGCCTCTGCTTCTGGAGCCTCCGACCCGGCTGCAGCCAGGCAGCACAGTACACAGCAGTCCTGGATGTAAAGACAATCATCCTTTGCAGATTCACTCTTAATAGATTTAATAACTTCCACCCCAAATTGCCCCAACCCTCCTCGTTCCCTCTTGTCACGTATTTTCTGCCCCAGGGGCAAACATGTCCCTCTCAGCCTCCTTTCTGGCTGTTGGGAACCTTCCGCGCCCTGAAAGGGAGTAAAAAAGAAAAAAAAGTGGGTATCTAAACAGAGGGAATAAGAAGGGGACAAGTGAGAATATAGTTCCTGATGAAATTCAGAAACCCAATGTCTTTAGGGGACCCACTTATGAGATTTGGTTAACTTTGTTCTTGTTATTTATGCTTTCCTTTTCAAAACAAAAATAACTATACAAATCACTTTATTAAGAAATGTACCCCCATAAAAACCGTGCACGTCCTAAAATGCTTTCCATTATCTCTTTGAAGAACAGCTAGCTTAAACCTTCTCAAAGACTGAAGTGACCATTTCTTAAGTCTGCAAATTTAAAATCACTTACAAGTTATAGACAGCATATGCAAATATAAAATATCCTATGCCTCTGTTAAGAAGGCTCAAAATTAACATTGTGTGGATTGCCTGTGTGCTGCTTCCACTCTCTGGAAGAAGAAGAAAAAAGTTCATAAAATGGAGACTCCAGACAAGAGGAATGGCACATCGAATCCGTTGAAAACACACACAACAGCCCTTAAAGTAACAAGCAGTACAGACTGAGTGCTCATGTAATATTTAAGCTTTCAAATGTATTGAGCAAAATGACCAAAAAGACTAGAAATGGTTACTGTGGTAACTAGCCTTTTTGTTTCACAATGACAGAAATGAAGTTAAAAAGAAAAAAAAAGTTGCATATAGTCATCAACACAGACCTAGCCCTTAAAATCAACAAACCCAGTTTTCTCTGAATACCCATGAATAAGACGTTTGTGGTTAAAAATCTCAGTAATAGTCTCCCTTTTAAAAATCTACATATAAAATGAGAGAACTGGTGGCCCCTCTTTTCTCTTTATGGGTTGTTGAAGATATTAGTCAGAGGCTACAATGATTCATCGTTTTCAATATAGAGGATTTAAAATGTATGTATTTATACTAATCACCTTGAACAAGTATCTGTCTTTTAAATGCACGTTGAGAGTCTGTAGATTCTGTGTGACTCAGGGGTGCTTACATAACTAAATGTGGGTTTTCAAGTGCAAATACGTGTTTATGATTTTTATAATCTATATCTATGCATGTCTGTGGGTTGCATTTAACTCCTGTGTGTGCATTAATGTTTTTCTCTCTGCTGAGGCTTACTTCTCCAGCCTATTGTTTGAGACAACAGATATAAGTTGCGATGGGAGAGGAGCGTCGGATTTGGTGTGTATCCCCCATTTCCAATTATAGATGGATCATTACAGACAGCGGAGTTCTGAGAAGCCAGACATCTGCTCCTCACATGAATGCACTCAGCTCCTAGAGACCAGGCTGCCATCATGCTCTGGAAACTCGTGGAGAATGTCAAGTACGAAGATATCTATGAGGTGAGCCTACACCCCCAGATGCATTTTAGAGCTTTGCAGATAGAGAATTTTGAGCTTCTTGACACCCCAACTGATATATAGATATATTTTTTGAGCTATTTACTCGTAGATTTCCGGTCGGTTTTCTCAGCTTTCTTTAACTTTTAGAAAAGCTGGCTCTTGGGCGACTTCACTATTCTGAAAAAGGACTTTAAGGTTGAAATCTGGAAACTTTAACTTTGGAGCTATTTTTCTTTTATTTTTCGTTCTCTCTTCCTGTCCTCCTCCCCTTTATAGGCTACTGAATGTGGCCAGACAGTCAAGAGAAAAACAGCTTCTGATAAAGGCAGAGGCTTTTCTCGTTTTGAGTATGGAGAGAGATTTGGGTTTTCGAGCTTCGTTCAGATTCGGGCTTTCTAATTTCAAAAAATTTTCTGAAATCTTAACCCACGGATCCAACTGGAGGGCAGAAAATTCGAGAGATAACTAGACTGAAAAATATATGGCTGGATAGAGCACCATATATGAAACCATAGCGGACAGTTTATCATCATTATTATTTTGTACTCTTGTGTTTTGCTTTTTTGCGGGTCACTAGGTCCGAACAGAGATCGCAGCCGCCAAGTGGTTTGCATTTTTAAGCAAACCTTCTGCCCACTTTCCGTGCGCACGACTCTCTCCACTGAGGCGCGCGCCGCCCGTCCGGCTGGAGAAGTCGCGGGGCGCGGGGCGCGGGGCGCGGCCCTTTCCCGGGGGCGCAGCACCGACGCGGCGCGGGCCAGGCGGACACGCGGCGGGGCGGCCGGGTCTCCATCGGACGAGCCTGGGAGACCTCCAGATGGGCCCAAGGGGAAGGGAAGAAGCGAAGGCTCTGAGGAGACGTCGAGGAGTGGGGAAAGGCAGTAAAACTTCAGAAAGGCAGAGAAAAAAAGGGGGAAAGAGGGAGGAGAGAAGTTAGGGAGGGGGTAAAGTGAAAGGGAGGAAGGAGGCCATGGAGATTTGTAGGGGGGAAGTTGGAGAGAGAGCGAAGAAGAGAAGCCCGGTCCGGTGCGACCAGCACCGGCAGGGTTCGGTTGCACGGAGCCGGTGGTGGCGAGGTGCAAAGAGGCTTCTCCAAGGGCCAGGAAAGAACCGCGACCCCGCCGCTCCTGGATACCGAGAGTGTGGCGACCCGCGGAAGCGGCCAGCCAGCTTCTTCCCGACGCTGTTGGTCGAATCCTATAAGAAGGACTGGGGCTCCGACGCGCGTCCCGGCGGCGCCCACAGCCGGCTCCCAGTGTCCCCCAGCTCAGGCCTGCGCTAAATCCTAATTTGGGGGGTTGCTTTTTGAGGGGAAGGAAGAGAGACAGACGGGACAGAAAAGTACAAGGAAAGAGAGAGAGGAGCGACTTTCTGCAGAGTGATGCTCGGGGTTTTTCCTTCCCTCTTTGTGGTTGTGTATTGACTGGAATGGAGAGCCGCGCCCCCGCGCCTGGTGGGGTTTGTTTCGGTTCTGCCTCCTTTTCTTTCCTTAACAGGCGGGATAATGTTAAAGTCAAAGGCATTAGAAGTAGCACAAAGAATACGGGCGCCCAAGGTAGACATGACGTTGGCAGAGCTGGGGCCACGGTGTAAATAGCTTTGGGTATACGTACAGGGATTAAAGTAATCAGAGTTACACTCGTTCTTTGATTATGAAAAATAAACGGCTAAGTGGGAAAGGGGGGAGGGAGAGAAGAAAAAAGGGTGGGAGAGAGGAAGAGGGAGGGGTGAAGTGGAAGTGAGAAGAGAAAAAAGGGGGAGGAGAGAGAGAGAGAGGGAGAGGAGAAATTGAAGGTATTCCTGACTGCCTTTATTTTCTGCTCATAAGTCAGGAGAACTCAGCGTGGTGGAAGGTGCCTATTTAAGTCTGGACTAAGGTTGAACTTTAACAGAAATGGCAGTCAGGCCAGTTGAACGGGTTCCTGAAACATCCAAAAAGATTTTCTGTTGCCCCTGGCTTTACCTGGAAAAGATAGGTTTAGTGTACTTGAAGATGGATTGCATGTATTTTAAATCGAAGTAAAAATCTCACTGTGCACCAAAGAGGAAAAGGCTGCACGTGGGAGAAACAGCTCACATCTTACCTCTGCCTTCTTAAAAAAAAAAAAAAAAGCTTAATCCTCTAAATTCAGTACAAGTATACCAACCTCCACTGTAAACAAGGGGAGCCCACCAATTTACTTTCTTTCCTCTCCAAATGATAAGTCAATGCCTTTTTGTTTTGTTTTTAAATCTGCACACAAAGCACCCAGGGTAACCACTTCTTCCCATTGGGAAAGTCTCTATCCATATCAAGGACACCTACATTGTATACATGCCCCCAGGATTGCTCTCCCACACTGCCTAATCCAGAGAGCAGAGGCTGCCTTAGGAGAGCATCCCAGCTCAGTTAATTGAAGTTCTGCCTCTTTCCTGCTAAACTTTTTCCCCAGTCTGCCTTTGCCAGCCCCCTCGTCTGATTACATCTAGTAATTCTCCACTGAATGAACGTCATTTACAATAGTAGGGGAGCTCTGCGCTCGCTGCTGCTTCACGCTCCATTTGTCCTCCATTCTCCCTTTAAAGTAGTCGTGTAATATTAATAGTCATGAATATCAATTATTATGAGGCGGTGTAGGCAAGCGGAGGGAGGAAGGGGCGCAGGAGCAGTCAGAGCCCAGCTTTGGGTAGAAGAGGACTGCACCTGGAGCCCCGAAGAACGGCAGAAGAAAAGAGGCCAAAAAGACAGCAAGAGACAGATGAACTGTTCTGTCTGTGTGTGACAGGCATCGCCAATCTTGTTGGAGGGGGGTAATTTTTTTTTTTTGATGGCTTGTCCTGGAAACACCTCAAGCTCAGCTCCTGCATCCAGCTCGCTTCTCTGCTGGACTCCTTGATTTTTAAAAAATCATTGTTTGATTTTGAGCAGTAACCAGGCTTTTTTTTCCAGATGTTAGTCCACACCTATTCATCCATGGTGAGTTTGGATTCACGTTGTACCGGAATTGCATGCTCTCTTCTCTCACTGTCTCTCTGTCTCTGCATCTCTGTGTGTGTATCTCACTCTGTCTCTCTGTCTTCCTTTGAGCGAGTGCCTTTGGCTTGGTAATTTAGCACCATAATTGGACAAGGCTGCAGCTGCTTCTCTCTGCATTGTGTGTTCTCCGTCTGAGCTCCATGAGTCAGCTGGGAGGGGGGAAGGCTGAACCGAAAAACTTTATTTGCTATTGCAGTTTGAAAATTTAGGTGGCTATTGCTGCAAAAAGAGCCATGGGGACTTTACATGGTATTTCCACAGAGAGGGAGAACTTAAAGTGCTCCTCCTTCCCCCTTCTCCTTTCATTTGGTTTACACTTCAGAGAAGACCAAGAATAAGTTGCCTGGGTTTCTTCCTTCCCCTCCCAACTTCAGGTCCTTCATTTTAACACTCTGACATATAATAGCATTTGGTATAGAAATGCAAGCCTAGAAACAACTCCTGCAAACCACAACTCAATTTAACAGGGGCTTAGGATATGATTTCGAATGATATCTATTTCAATCAGACACTATTTAAGTTATTGAATTCCTCCTAGGGAGGGAGGGGGGACTAAAACTCAGATTCTTTGGAGCTTTTGGAATCACCAGGTTGAGAAGCACTCATGATTAGCCAGGGGCATTGCTAGTGAAGACAGAAGCTGGTTTTTAAGCAGATGGAGCAGCACAACACATACTATGAAGTTTCGTTTGTTGTGCTTTGGGTCTCTGGAAGAATTAGGAAAAAATAGCTCAAAACATGCAGAAGAGCAAACACCATATGTAGGAATCCTACCTTTTTAATTAAGGCATTTAGCATCTCAGTTTACACACACACAGTTCCTTTACCCTAGCCCTTTTTGCCTGTTTTGCACTCCCAAAAGAAGGCTCAGATGTTGGTTAGTGTTAGACCATACTTTTTTTTTTTTCCCCTCCCCAAAGCCTCTTGTTTGGAATTGTTAAAAATCAAGTGGTCCTAAAACAACTTGGGGGTCTAAGTTTTAGACGCTGCTTACTTCCCTGTCCCGGGAAGGTTGCACAGAAGTCAAGCTTCTCCATTTGTTCTCTCTCTCTCTCTCTCTCTCTCTCTCTCTCTCTCTCTCTCTCTCTCTCCTCTCCTCTCCTCTCCTTTCTTCTTCCTCTACCTTTCTCCACTCCCAGGACCGTCACGATGGCGTCCCGAGCCACAGCTCGAGGCTCTCTCAGCTGGGCTCGGTGTCCCAAGGACCCTACTCGAGCGCCCCGCCGCTGTCCCACACCCCGTCATCGGACTTTCAGCCACCCTACTTCCCGCCCCCCTACCAGCCGCTCCCCTACCACCAGAGCCAAGACCCCTACTCCCACGTCAACGACCCCTATTCCCTGAACCCACTGCATCAACCCCAGCAGCACCCCTGGGGGCAACGGCAGAGACAAGAAGTGGGTTCGGAAGCCGGCTCTCTCCTGCCCCAACCTCGGGCGGCCTTGCCCCAGCTCTCGGGCCTTGATCCCCGGAGGGACTACCACTCCGTCCGCCGGCCGGACGTGCTGCTACACTCCGCGCACCACGGCTTGGACGCGGGCATGGGTGACAGCCTCTCATTGCACGGCCTTGGTCATCCCGGCATGGAAGACGTCCAGGTAAATCATAAACAAACAAACCAGTCAATAAATAACGAATGTCCAAGGCAGGAGTAGCTCTGTCTCCTTTAGGGAAGTTGTTCTCATCTTTAGAGCAGGTCCATCTGGACAGGGCGTATATAAAAACTGTGTAAATTATGGCTGTACAGAGGCAATTGCTTGAAGATACGAATGTGAAAGGCAGAACTACTAGAAACTACATCACGAAGAAGAAAAATATGTATGTGTTTTGATAGTTTAGAATCATTAGAATCAAGGCTAATGTTTTTGTCTTGCTTCAGCTACTGGACTCTTGTATATTCTTTATTGCTTTGTGTGAGCAGTCTTGGCACCTTGCACACCCTATAGTGGACCTGTCCTGCTGACTTGGCAGGTGAAGTCCTGGCTGTCTAGAGGACAGGGTCTTAGCAAGTACGTGTGAGGACCGCGGAAGACTCCAGAGGTGCCTGCTGGATTTGCAAACATTTTCCTAAGCATGACGATCTACATTGCAAGGAAGTCATGAGCTATGATTATTTAAGCCAGTGCTTGCTCTGAATATTCCAAAAACCACAGAGCCCTTTTCCAAGATAGCGGTTCAGTGTCACCTCCCTTCAGTGAAATATGTGTAGGAGATCGTCCTAGAAAGCCACAATTCGGTTTGGGAGTCCCTGAAGACAGGTACCATTTTGGAGAATCTTTTCACTTTTTTTTTTTTTTTGGTTTATTAATTGACAGCAAAGCGATGTTCTCCACCTTCCTCTTCAGTCTTCTCCTCCCCCTATTAATACTCTTCTTGTCCCAATGTGACCATCCCAATCGAAGGGGAATCACGTGTTTATTTCTTAAAACAAAAGGCTCAAAACACTCCCCCTATCCACCTCCTATCCCAACTGCAACCAAGACAATGGAGTCTGATTTGGTTGAGAACACTTGGTTAAACTAAACAAAGAAACATCAAAGAAATGATTCCTAAAAACTGTCTTGGTGATTCTGAGCAGGTCTCCTTCCCCTCCCTCAATTTAAAGTAGTCTCCAGAAAAGATAAATAAAGTTGAAAAGTATTTAATTGCCACTCCAATTTCATTGGCATATTTGTACAAATAATGCATCATTTTAAAAATACATCTGAAGCAAAAGCAAAATGAAATCAGAGAGAGAGCAAAGGGTGCACAAATCATTCCTCTTCACCTTCCTAGAAAAATCTGTGTTTAAACAGTTAAAATGTAACAGTATTGAATGCTGTATGTGTAGTCTATGATGGCTTACTGGTTTTAAAAAAATGAAATCACCTGATTTGTGGCTGGATTTACCTATAAGAGCAATGGCTTTGTTGATTTAACTGAGGTTGACGTCTGTCTGGAGACACTACTCATTTCATAAGATCATATAAGAAAGGAAATATTTAATAGTTCTCTTTAATGCATCCGGGTACTCTGTGTCTGGGGGGAAAAGTTTTTAAATTAACCTCTCTGAGTATGGTTCAAAGTACTGGCTAATGAAAGTGGGTGGGTTCATCTTGATGCCAGCACCGCTTCATCACCACCACCCCTGCTGCCCAGTGCCTCGGGCAATTGAACCCAGGACTTCTTCCCCAGAAAGAAGGATCAGATATCCTTGACTTTAGAATTTTTTAAGGCAAAATTGTGGGGATTTTCTTAGTGTTCGACATGATGCAAAGAGTGAGGGAGAAATATGTCCAGGTCTGTGAGCACTTCTCAAAGCATCCGAAAGGATTTCGAGTGTTTGTGTGAGCAGAGCACTGTGGCCGAGTTGTTTCTATCCGGAATACGGACTGCAGAGGTAGAGAGAGCTCAGAAAAAGCAAAAGCAGCCCAGGGCCCCCACATGTTCCCTGTCCTGCTGGACTCCCTGCCCTCCCTGCTCCTCTTCCAGCTTCATCCAGCCCTGGGCCTGCTGAGGTAAGCCAGGCCTGCAGAACAACCCTCAGCAAGCAAGAGCGGCAGAGGATGCTTGCTCAGAGGGCAAATCATTGGCGCAGGAACAGCGCCTCTCTCTGTCTCCATGAAAGACCTCTTGAGACAAGGAGGAGGCTGACCTGACACAGGGAAGGTAATGACAGCAGGGAAGGATATGTGCCTAGGATCAGACCCCAAAATTCAGAGACTGCAATTTGTCTGCTCTGTCTGGAAGGATCCACTTTCAAGTTAGGGATCCGGGTGCAGGGGCGAAAAGTTACCCAAACTGGTTTGCCTTTTGACATTCCCTGAAGCTACTAATTGAATGGGATGGTTGCACCCATCCTGTCTTAAAAAGAGACAAGAGAATCCCTCAAAGTCACTTGTTCAATCTCAAAGCTCTGGTGTGTGTTCAAGATACTCCCAGCAATAGACCAGACATTCCCCAAGGGTACTGCCCTGGCCTGTGGGTTGAAATTTGGAGGGCTGTTTTTCGACCCAGTAACACACACACCGGGCCACCACCCCATGAGAGAAGAGCAGGAGAGCTAATTAACCAAATGCTTCTAATATTTTTTAAATGAAACTATAAAACCCTGTCAATTTCTATTTCAATTTACTCACAGGGGCTATTAAACTAGCAAATCACTGTTTGGGTTCCGGGTATGCTACATTTCACTCATTGTGTGTGTGTCTGTGTGTGTGTGTGTGTCTGTGTGTGTGTGTAGGGGAGGCAGTGTTAAAACACTCAGAAAAAAATGGCTCCACAAAGACAGAAAAATGGAGTGAGATACACCGAGTTTGATTTGTTTAGTTGCCATGCACTCTTCTTCTGTCTTTGCTCTCTAACCTTCTATCACTTCTACCACCCATGAGTGTAAACATATAAAGATGTTAAGTCAACTCCCCCAACACACACACACACACACTCAAACACACCCTTGTGTCTTAAAGCAACCCCTGGTATCACTTTTAACTAAAGAAGTCTAGTAATTACGAGTCTGAGTTGTTTTTCTGCGCTTCCGCATGCAGTCCTAATTAAATCTTTACGATCCTCCCTGTGACGATTAAGCGCCAGCATGCTGCGTGAATATCCTGTACAAAAACCCAGCAGGCGGCCGTAATTAGATAGAAAATCAGACAAGAGCCTTCTCATTAACTACCACAAGTACCCCACGTCGCTGATGAGGCGTGTATACATATTTACGTACCAACGTGAGGGTGAGGTGTGGGGGCTTACAGGTTCAGGCCCGTGTGAGTGAAGGTTTGTTTGCCCACAGACACAGGCAAATGTTTCTGTCTTTCTTGGAGCCATTGTCACTGCGAAGAGCATAGAGAGGGATGGACGGAGTGTGTGCATGCTGAACCCCTCTGAGGACTTATGAACAAGTTATATGAGGTCTTTTTAAAAACAGTTTTTCACTATTTCTTAAGATGTATATGGCAGGTTGTTACAACAAGGAAGAAAAACAGCTCTTACAGAGAAATAATAATTTCCCTCGCTTTTTTGAGGGAGGAAGAGCAACTATTAGAAATGAAAAGAAACAAACTGACATGGCCCCTGGTGATTAGACCATCACATTTTCCAAGCTTGTTTGGGTTACACAGTCTTTTTCTTGTGATACACATACACCGTCTGGGGATACAGCGGGAGTGGGTGGGAGGTGCTATAAAAACACCTCACACTCAAGCCCTTTCTTTTATGCTTCTTTATACAGTGGGTGACAAATTGGTCCAAACAAGTTCCTGTGGATCAACAGAAGAAGTTTTACATTTCAGAAAGTTTTTGATTTGGGGTGTGGAGGAGGTAATCCACTTTTTGAACACCCTGGGATGTACAGCCAGAACGCTGTTCATGCATCCCTGACAGTAGGAAACTCTCCAACAGCTACTTCCCTTAGAAGTGCTGCCAGTGCTCAGAGCTGGAACTTCCTTTCTGTGGGATGAAATTGTGGCAAAGAAGACAAATGTACCTTGTGATTACCTGGGTGTTCACTGGGAGGATTCAAGCCCCGTGGGGTGTGTGTGTGTGCACCCTGCATGCTTGCATCTGTAGTTACTGCCTTCCTAACAGGTGTGCGCCTTGCTAGGAAGCAGCGCCATTAGGACTGGGAGGGGCAATGCATTGTACAGGCTCCTCCTGGGATTGTCATTGTACAGCAAAAAGCCTCTAGCTCACAGGAAAGTGTGTGGACGGTAGTGGGTGTGCAGTCCTGGAGGCTTGCAAACATGTTCCTGTGTGTTGCTGTTTGCATTCCATTCCAAATTGCTTAGACTTTAATTAAAATCCCATAATGTAAACTATTATGTATTTGTGAAATAGCTCTGGGTTAAGATGCAGTAGGGTACAATGGAAAACAGAAATTGCTTTTAACTAATATTGGTGGAAATCTTTCAGCTGTTGCCAAATTCTCACAATTCATAAGAGCAAATAATGTAAAGATTTATATGTCTGTGTAATATCTGTGTTTTATATAATAACTGAACCAATATTGCACCCTGGGTGCTTCTCATAGTTTCCTTTTCCCTTTTCTTCCCACTGGAAGAATTTATAATTCTGGTGAATTTCATTTCTATGTCTATTTGGAGGTAATAATGATAATAATAAAACCTCCCTTTGTGAATTAATATAAATGGAAATAACAGAAACTGCAGTTTAGGATGGCGTGATTTATGTGTGCAGTTCTTTAATACCCAGTCAATTTGAATGGTGATGTTTTTATATTCACAGTCAGTTGAAGATACCAATAACAGCGGCATGAATCTATTGGACCAGTCTGTCATTAAAAAAGGTATGGCTTATTCCTCCCAAGAGTAAGCAAAGTTTTCCTTTGCTTTAATGTCTTAATGATGAGCTTTCACTTTGGGGGAATTGATTATTGTATATGATACAAATCTTGACTCCCAATCAGTAGTACAGTGGCTGTCAGGCTAGGTAAAAGGGCATGTCGGGAAGAAGGAAATGGGCAAGGGGAGCGAAAACCACAGAATAATACCGGGATGAGAGAAACAGAGGAACAGACACTATTGCCACTTTTCTCATAATGCAGATGGTAGCCGTTATAGATGCATCTTAAATAATTGAACTCTCATGATGTGTGGAAATGACTGGGGAACACTGATTTTAAAAACGTGCTATAATTATTTCATTGATAACTGGAGTTTGCTGAGTGAAACTCTGTGATTCAGACAGCTCTTTTTTTTTTTACTTATTTTTTGTTACGATCTTTTGCTGATAATTTTGTTCCCAGTTCTCTGTGTTTTATGAGTTGTTTCTTTTTATTATTATTTTTAATTGTGCCAAATGTGTCACTAAATGTGTGCATTCTGAGAAGCTGAGCTAGTCTATGCACATATCAAATCTCCCTGCATATGCACTCATGATTTAGTGTGACTGCTGAATCACCCCATACTGTTAAAGGCATGTGATATTAACAAATGTTTGCAGTCTCTTGTACAGCTGTAAGCAAAATAATTAACTAATTAAACTAATTAAATGTAATTACAATAACTCATTTCAGGCGTATTGCAGCTGCTTAATTTTTTTTCCTCCTCTTCTCTGACAGTCACTGAGAGAATGCCTGGCGATTAGTGTGACTGCTGAGAAAGGTCTGAGTGTCACTCCCATGCCACAAATTTAGGAGCCTGAATGTATTAACAGTGCAATCTTTAATTATCACAAGAACTGGTATTTGAAAACACAGTTTTAACTACTGTAACCCTTTCTTATTGATGCTAGAGAAAGTCTCTCCTTATGTTTGGTGTCAACAATTCCCAGCTTCGGTTGGTTAGGATTCACTTGAGCCACTTGACATTCACAAAAAATAATTCCAAGAAATCATGCTCTGGAAAGCAATGCATCCATAGTCAAATTGGAACAATAGAAGGCTTGTGGAATAAGGTTTCCAAACAGGGTGAGGTATTCTAAATTTTCTTCTTTTACAAACAGTAGCTTTGAGAGGTGAACAGGGGAAGCAGTACTTGAAATGTTATCTGGCTTTAGAATGAATATTCTGAACAGTAGTAAGATTTGAGGAAAAACTAAGTGGTTGCTCAAAACATTTCTCCTTCTCTTCATCAGACTTATCATTTTGGTTTTTAATGCCAGTTTTTGGGAGGCTCCAGCTAGGTGCTTAGACTCGAACTTTCGCCACTTTCCTCTTGGGTCTTCTTTTTTGGTTAATGGCTGGTTGACTGGGGTGGAGTGAGGGAGGAGACTCTCTGTTGGCTTTTTTTGTTTGTTTGTTTCAGCTCCCCCTCCCTTTTTTTGGAAAGCTAGAACCACTTAGCTCAGGGTTCTGTATCCTAGCAATATCATTTGGGCTGGCAGTGGGACATACCCAACAGATGACCAATCAGAAATGTTATTAATAGTCAAGCCAATAAAAATATTTGCAGCTCTAGCAAAATGGAGCTCACAATGTCCTTAGATGTTGGGTGCTTTTGTTACAAGCTTGTATATATTTGTCAATGTTGTGTGAATAAATATATGTAAAGTTATCTCCAGGAGTAAGAAAAAGAGACTATTGACTAAAGTTGCTGTTTCTATTTTTTTTGAAAACACTGAAGTATTTTCTATGTCCTCAAAAGCTTTCTTTAAAAATGTACAGCTTAAAAGATCTAAGTAGCATCCTAATCATTTTAATTTATTGGGGGAGTGGCATGAATATGAATGTCAGGTCAATTCTGTTGTTTGATACTTGAGATATTTGCTTTATTGCATGAATAAAAGATCCTAATATCATATTTTTATCTTTAAAGAGCCACAGGCAAAACAAGTAGTTCATCTATTTTTCTAACCCACCACAAACCACTTAAAGTTATGGGTTCATTAGTCCCCAAGACGGGAGTTTTTGCCTACCCCTATCTCCATGAGGGATAATCTCTATGAGATTAATTTGGTAGAAAGGTGAGACAGTTTTCTGGACTGGATATTCTAAATTTCAAAAAGTGTGTGTGGGGGGGACTTAGTTACTTAATTTATTTTCGAATGGGCATTTAGACAGATTTTTTTAAAAAATCTACTTCATTAACTAAACCAGTCCAGGCTTGAGTGCCTCTATGTTTATGAAGTCCAAAGACCTAGGAATGAAGGATGTCTGTCTCTATCTCTATGTCTCTCCCTCCAATTATGGCATGGCCCCTCCTAAAATTTAAGCAGTCTAATTTTTCACCCATGTTATATCACCCCATAGATTATAGGCTCCCTCCCTTGTTATGTTTGCTATCTGGGCTTAGCTGACATTTCTCAAGTAATTTAGTTAAGAGGAAATGAGTTGTTCCCAGTAGAGAGAGCAAACGAGTGGAGTGAAGGTAGCCAGCGTGATAAATGGCTCTTTCATTTGAAGATCTCCAGAGCTCGTTTACGGCTAATTTTCTGTATTGGCCCCCTTTGAGCTATTAATGCAATCGGCAGAGACCGTGGCCCCTCTCCTCTTAGCTGCCCCATTAGAGCTCCCATTAAGCTGCCTAGTCTCAACTCCATGGCAAGTGTGTGTGTGTTGGGGGGGAGGGCGGAGGGAGACCTAATGAAAGGTGCTTTTTAAACTCTCCTAATCTAAACCGGCAGAGGGTGGTTAATACGATTTGAAGGGGGCTGGTCAATGAGCAATCAATAAAGTAATAATGAGAAGGATTCGGTACATTAACAGTCTAAAAATCCAACGAGACATTAAAAAATCATTCTTAACTCTCAGTTCCATTAAGATTAAGAATCTGGGGGGGGGGTGCCCAGCTAATATAAATGATCATTACCACTATCATATAACTTAACAAAAAAGGCTTACCTAGGCTTTAAGAAAAAGGTTTTGTAGCAATCAGAGGCCAATATGCAATCTGTTTGACACCTTAGACAGCAGAAAATATGCAGGGATTTCTTGGAAAGGCGAGTGTGGCTGGAGTCCAAGATTCAAATGGTTGACTGTGGGGCATTTTTATTGGTCTTAAGGATATCCTGCTTGGTTAGTTTCAGTTCAACCTCTGTTCCTTCTCTCCCACTTCTCCCCCCTTTTATTTCTGACCCCTTCTTCACATAAACACTTTGGTGTGAATTTTCTTGGGGAGGGGGGGACAAAAAAATTGCCAAATTTCAATTCCAGTGGCTCCTTTGGGGAGCCTTCCTCTTTTTTTTTTTTTTTTTTTTGTCTAGAACATAAATTCTGAGAGTCTGTCAAATCCCTTAAAGGGTTTGAATTTCCTCTCAAAGAAGTTTGCATCAGCTGAGTTGACTTGGATCCCAATAGCTAATTATCCTGAGAGACATTCAGACCACCCAGGGAGTGGTCATAGTCCACAGAATTTTGAAACTGGAAAGACTGGACACTCTTCTACATCCTCCAAGTGAGGAATCCCTGCAAGTGCAGAGGCAGGAGGACAGATAATGTTCTCAAGGTCTCACACACCAAGTGATGAGATCCAACTCAATTTTCAGTTTCATAGATTCTGTGGCTAAAGGATGGCAACACTGGATGTTTGTAGTTTATATATATTTCAGCTTTCTTTATGGGGATTCTTTTACTTGTCTTTCCATGATTTCAGAGCTCACACTTAAACACGCGCTATATGTGCGGAATAAAATTTAGTCCCAAGTACATGAAAAATGTTGTGAACTTAAGGGAAAGGGTTCTCTGCTGGTGAGAAGTAATTATTTTGCTTTTAGACATTAGTCTGAATCAATGCTAAATTTCTTGGTTGCTTCCCAATGTATTTTATATATTTAAGTCAGAGTGCCTTTCAGAGGGATGCCACCCTTGAATCTATAAGACAGGTTCCCCTCCAACATATTCTGTCAAGCACAAAGCTCTCAATGCTATGATTTCACACTAAAGTTTTTTTTTAAGTAGAGACTAAGAGCTACTTTATTAACACTTTAGTTCTATATGATCTACTAAAGAATAAATTTTTCTTTCATTTTTCCTTCCTCTCTCTTCAAACTCCAGTCACCATAACAAAATATTGATCTGTTTTTAAACTATTATTTTTCTTCCAAGAATAAAAATATTCTTGGAAAGGGGAATTCCAAGAATTCCTATTCAGGGGGAAAGGGAGGGGAGTTAATTTTGTGGGTGCTCCATCCAGAATTTAACTTTGACATCCAACTGAGAACTGAAGAGGGGAGGAAACTCACTTTTAATGTATGCACAGAAAATTGTCAACATGTAGAGAACCAAAAGCTTCATGCTGAGTTTGGCTATGCTCCATTTCCTTACCATTTCCTGCTGTCGCTTTAAACCTATCTCAGTCATCTCTGGGTTCCATGAGCAGGAACAGTGTGCTCATAATTACTAACAAATCAACCGGGCCCTGTTGCTCTCTGGGTTTATTGATAAGCTGGAGAAAAGGAGACAGGAAAAGACAAAGAATAAAATACAGGGTTAATCAGCTGAGCTAAGCAGGTGTGATCTTGGAGAGGAAGGTAGACCCAGGAGGAGAAATGTGTAGGATTTGGTAAGTGGATCAATCTAGCTAGGGCAGCAGACAGGGTTAGAACCTGAGGATACAGAATAGAGCTCCAAAATATGATTTTGATACTTAAATTAGAAAATGGGAATAGAGTCTATAACACCTCTGCTCCCACTGTCTGTGACTGTGGGGCAGGGTGGGGGCTGCTTTGCAAGATGTCAGAGTGCTGAAAAAGTTGACTGAATTGCGGGTATTTAGCTGACAATGTATATGCAGAGAGGTACAGCCCAAGGGAGGGAGTGATGTACATTCCCCAAAGGAAACAGATCTTGTCAGGTAAATCAGGCAATTAACAATAGTGAAATTAGAGGGCAGGTTATAAAGGTGTCTCAAAGGCCTGGCTTTTCAAGAGATTTGGCATCTGGGACTTCTGAACACTGGTAAAATTCCAGTGTGCAGAAGATATTTGGCTCTTCAATGTAGAAAGCAGGAGCTGGACTCAGCATTTTCAGCTTAGTGGAATTCTTTTGTTGCTGAAATATTCTAAGTAATAGTTAAAGATAAAAGTGTTCCTGAATATCAAAGATGAAGTTTTCATACAATTTATTTCCATCATCCTCATGTTAAAACTAAAAACGGTCATCTATATTTTGGGGAAATTTTTCCAAGTTTATTTACTGCCAGTTTCCAAGATTCATAGTACCTCGAATATGAATCTGAAACATGGAAGTCAGGAATGCTGTGAAAAATTAGATGAAAATGGATGTGGATATTTTATACAAGAATTAAATGATAGGGTATCCTCCATTACTCATTTATTAAGTGACTGAAATTCCAGATTTTACTCAAGTCTGATTAATATACCAAACTTTCATTGCTTCACTCTCAAATAGGAAACAGTTTCACTAATGAGAATATAAGGGAAATCAGAAAGAAAAAAGCCCCCTTTTCTAGTGCCCACCACATGGCAATACAGGAAACCCACTGTGTTACCCGACATCACTCATCAGCCTGAGACCAGGTCTTGAGCACTGTGGACAGATCCAGTAGCACCTCCAGTAGAAAAGCTCTTTTCCAAGAGATGACTAAATTAAATTCATAGTAAAGAAAAGATTTGGGACCTGTTGGCTTTTTAGGAGCCACCAATCATGGGGGTCTAAATGCTGCAATCTGTGGTAGAAAGAATCAGCTGTTACGAAAATACTGTGTTGGTTGTTCTGTTCCATACAAGAGAGTCTATTCCATCACATATAGAATTCTAGACTCCAGATGGTAAAAGAATATACCTTTCCCATGTCAGAATTATAGGATGAGTCAGAATCTTTGTCAAAAAGATAGGTAGGGAACCTTCTTTTTTTTCACACCAGATGCATGTTTCAATAAATATCCTAACAAGTGACCAAGAAATAAGGTGAAGAATTGGGGCTTCATATCCCAAAGGAAGAAGCTAAGGTACAGGGCAAATCAGGAGATATCTCCTGAACCTATAAAAGAAAATGGACTAAAGCAATGCAGAAGTCCAAAGGGAAAAACTGCAGGAAACTGGGAAGTTGACTGTTCACTGTTCCTCATTCCCAGCCTTCTGGTTCCATGGAGCTCAGCCTCTTCCTGACTGTGCAGATGACAGCAAAACACAATTAAACAGAAATACAGGCTGGAGAGGCTGAATGCACCAGGGTAGCAGTGGCAACCAGCTGTCAGCTCTTATTAACTTCTGCATAAAACATACCTTGAGTGTGGTTTGTTATCAATTACTTGCCGAAATGAAACAACTGGGGCAAGGCAAGACCGCCGCTCATATGAATTAGAGTGATTGGTTGATTGATCAGGGCACCTGTTGTAAATCATAACTGTTCCAAACAATCACCAGCCAGTGCTTTAATTTGTAAACAAAATTCATGTCACTGCTGAATTGCTTTCACTGGAGATGAGCATTTGGGTTCATTTTTAAATGAATCTGTTGTTGCTAGGAAGAAAAGAATGGGGCCCACTTTCAAGTGATGAGCAGCTTTTGGGGACTCAACTCCCCAGCTCAATAGTATTGTTACTTGTCTATCTTTGGGCATAAGATCTAATAGGACCTAGCACCCTGATGTTTTTTGGTGATAACGCTAGATTTGGGCTCCAATAAGGGAGGAGGATGGAGTTTCCATAAAGACCATTGGCATTACTGTATCATCCTGGAATGGTGATAAACCTTCATGCTCCAGCACCAAATGAAATAGGCAGTATTATCCTTAGGAGACAAGTGAGGAAAATGAGATTCAGAGTTCAGTGAGGTGTCTAAGGTCACATCGCTAGCACATGAAGAAATAGGGCTTGCCTAGCTTCACAGAACAATCCAAGCTCTGGGTTGAGTGCTTTCCTGATTTGTGTGCCTTGCGGGGCTCAAGCGACACTCACGTGTGACACACCTGGGGTAAGTTTCCAGAGTGATGTCTGTTTGTACACATCACTCTGAATGCACCACAGCCCCACTGGAACAAACAAACGCTACCCCCCAGCTTTCCACTCTCCGGTGGCCTCCCACAATGACCCATCCTGTCAACCAGTCACCAGGACTGAAACCCGGTCACCATTATAACATTTTTTTTTCCTATTCTTTGTCTCTCTCTAGTTCCGGTTCCTCCCAAATCTGTGACTTCTCTAATGATGAATAAAGATGGCTTCTTAGGAGGCATGTCAGTCAACACCGGCGAGGTGTTTTGCTCAGTCCCAGGCCGTTTGTCTCTGCTCAGTTCAACTTCAAAGTACAAAGTAACTGTGGGAGAAGTTCAGAGACGGCTCTCGCCCCCTGAATGCCTCAATGCGTCTCTCCTGGGCGGCGTCCTCAGAAGGTAAAAATTCCCAAAGCCGTTCTTACTGGTGGGGGAGAAGGTTCCTGCAGAAACTGATGGAAAGTCCCACGCGGTCGCCTAGCAACCGAGAGGTCCAGCGCAGCCCCAGAATAGCTCGTGCCACGTGCTCTGAGCCCTCGGTTGGCCACCTAGACAGCCTCCATCTCCTACCCATCTTTAGGCCCTGGGTACCTTCCATTCTCCTGGGCTGCTATGACGCCTGCTTCCTCCTTCTAAGGACATCTAGGGCTCTGTCTACTCTGAGAGTGCAACCCAGAACCCTACCCTCACCCCCTCATCTAAAACAGAAATTTCAAAAAGCAACTCCCTTCATACCTTCCATGTACTCTGATGCTTTTCTGTTTTATTATATTTTAAAATACAGTTGGAGACCCGTTAAATTGGTTTCACGACCAATGTACTAATGCATTGCGCTCCACATTTTGAAAAACACTTTTTTTAGTTTTGTGACCTCCTTCCTTCATTAACAACCACCATTAATAACAAGAATACCACTTTATAAATATTGGCAGTCATTACTCAGGGCCATGTAGGCGCTCCTGTGTACTGATTCTTCTTCATGAAAATGGGGAAAGAGATGGCTTTTGTCTTAAGATTTAAATTCTCTGCTAAAGTCCCTGCCAACACCTGTACCCTTGGCACTGTTACTGATAAAGTGACTTTGTAGGAGACAAAACTTTCTAAAGTAACTCATTTTGGGTATGGACAACCACTTTCTTTCCTAAGTGAGTCTGACTAGACCAGCAAGAGAGGTCATGCATAGTAACTGTGTGTGTGTGTTTCTCTTTTCTTTCTTTCTTTTATTTTGCTCAGACTTTAGCATACAGGGAGAATCTTGGAGGGACCAAGAGTGTGGGGTTGACCCAGAAATTTTATAATTTTAAATCTTCTTGTTCCACACTCAGTTTTCAAGTCAGTCCTCTGAGCTTCAGAGAGGGAGGTGTTCAGTCACCCCATTGAACATGGGTATATAAAACTTGTAATAAGTTTGAGATAATTAGTATAAAGTGTTTATCACATAACTAAACTCAAAAGTGCTAGTTTTACTGTTATTATGATGATAAATCACCACCATTTGCATATTTCAGTGTTCTCTCCCCATCTAAAACAATTCCATTAGTGACTCTTGACCCCTTCCTCATGGAAAAGCCCACCTGTTTCTAAAACACCTGTCTCTTTCCCACTTTTCAGGAGGTTTCGTTTGCTCAGATTCAGTTCTCACTGGCTCCATGACAAGAAGCCAGTTGTGCGCGCGCAATTTCCACCTTCTCTGGACCCACAATTTATACCCTAATTATTCCCATCTGGTATCATTTTTTTCCCTCACAAGATTAAAAAAAAAGAACACGACTCAATTTTTTATGCTCTGTATTGCAGAAATTAAGCAAACCTCAGCAAACTATCAGCAAATAACCAAAGGAAAGGAGGGGGAAGTGCTAACCTCAAGTTAAAACCTCTTCAAGCTCCACTGGGCCTTAGATTGCTAAGTCTAAACTTTGTTTCAGGAACACTCTGAGGTTAATCAGAATGTTAATTCTTGCAATTTCAGAGCCAAATCGAAAAATGGGGGGAGATCTTTGCGAGAAAGGCTAGAAAAAATCGGTTTGAATTTACCCGCGGGCAGGCGCAAAGCAGCAAATGTCACGTTACTCACCTCCCTGGTGGAAGGTAAGCAAGACGTGTGGCCATTTCTCGAAGTGGCTGAGCTTAACTGTCGGCTGGAGGCTGACATTTTACACGTTTCATGATTAACTGGAAATCATTGCGATTGTTGTGCCCTTATGAGTTGGATGTCAAGCGGCTGCTTGAGAGAAGTTCAAAGGTCTTTTTACTTAGAGGAGGGCAGCAGTTGCAGAAAGGCAAAAAGACCTGTATAAAGGTTCCTATACTCTGGAGAGTGATCAGGTCCAGGGTCACCTGTGTTTCCACACACTGTCTGAAACACCCTCTGTATCAATGCTTTCGAGAGTAACCATAAGCAGCAATTCATGTCTGCTGTTCCCAGATTTTACCTCTTAATGGTTACTACTAGAAGACACATTGTGTTCATGACCTCATTTTCATTCCCAGGACCTTACTTCCTGCTGATTACCTGAGATTTACTGAAATATTGATAGCTTAGTAAGTCTAGTGATGACTGAAAGAAAATTGGGGAGAGGGTGGTGAGAAAACATGGAAGGAAGTAAAGTTAGATCTTCCATATAAACTCATCAGTTGTGAATTCAATGTCCATAGTTGTAATAAGCAACTTCTAATTTGTTCATCAGTTTGGGTTTGGAGATGATATTGATGGCATGTAATCTGTAAGACCATCTACATAGTCTAGAAAAAGAATACCTACAGTCAAATTTGTGGGATGGGAAATACAGCCAGATGGTACTGACAGAAAATGGAATTTTCTCTGGAGTCTACCTTGTCTTGGCTTTTTCTTCCATTCCTTAATGGTTATGGTATTATGACACTCCTGTAGGGAGTGGTTTTTGGAGCAGGGCACCTTAGAATATTTAAACAGTAGCCACAAAATCACCACAGTTACAGGTCTTGTACTTTGCTATCTTTAAGGCAGTGTTGTTTGGCCCAAACTTACCCTTGAGAGCCAGCAGTCACAGTTTTTCCAGACCACACTTATTAGTGGCTGACTTTCAGCCTGGGGTTTCACATTTTGCCCTTTAGGGAATTGCTAATATCACAATCCTCATTTTGAAAAGCAGTCTAGGTAATCTTAGCCCAGAGTCAAGGATTTTGGTGGAGAAGGGAAGAAACTGGAAATCCCACTAAAATTCCAATATTTGGTTGGTAGGTTTTGGTTTTATGAATCCTTGCAAGCACCATGCCTAAAGTCTTTTGTTATTATGATAATGATGATTAAAAGTAAGTCACGCTCCTTAAAAATAATGTAGCTATGGGATAATTCAACATACCGCCTTTTCATGTTTGTGATCTTTCCTCAAAACCCTAAGGCTGTGCTTTGCAGGGTAATAATGCTTTATTCAAAAGGGGCTTCCTCATAAGCTCTGGAATAGCTTAGATGCCCTGGCTTTCTGTAGCTGCATCTTTGTGCACTAGAAAGTCTTTAAGTAGGAGGGAGATGACAGAAACCTCTGAAGGAGAGAAACCTGAAAACTAACTAGCAGGAAAAGTGACAAAGAGAATAATGATTTCATTGCTGAATAGAAATACTCTTCCCATATACATTTGACATGAGTTCTTTGATATTTGTGGACATTTACACACATGGATGTGCTTATACATGCTAGTTATTAATAAGAGATTTTTCCTAATACAATTATAGGGAGATGGTGGTGACTTTTAAATTTTATTTAAAGCAGGTGTAACCAATGCTTTAAAAAAGAAGGAAGGAATCTGGCTTACATATCCAGCCAAACGTCTAGATTCAATTAGAAAGTGGCTCTTGAATATATCCAGCCTACCTTTCCCTTAGGACAAAACGTAGGTTGTAGGAGACTCATAGCTATCCAGGGGATGTCTACTTAGGACGTGGCTCTGGGAGAGGCTGGAAAGAACATAAGGTCTGTCCCACGAATTTTAATTATCTCTTGGGAATCATTATTTTGGGCTTCTGTCACGTTTGCCTTTGCCCCAACACCTGTCCTCCTCTGGCAATACGGAGACCATTAGTGTGTGACTCCAGCCCTGAGATGTTCAGGGTCTGGGTGCTGATTCTCCGCTGTTATCTTTTCAGGTGAAGCTGTTCACTTAGCTCGGGATTTTGGGTATATTTGCGAAACAGAGTTTCCCGCTAAAGCCGTCTCTGAGTATTTGAACCGGCAGCACACGGACCCCAGTGACCTGCACTCCCGAAAGAATATGCTTATGGCCACCAAGTGAGTGTCCCAGACTCTGGACCCTCATCCTTGACTCCCACCCTGCCAGTTCACCTGCTTGGGAAGCAGGTGGAGGAGAGGAGCAATGCAGACCCTCTTTTGTGGGGTAAAAAGCCCCACGGGCTATCTACAGTAGCACAGCAGGCTAGGAAGCCGTCTTGGCTTGGGGGTGGGAACGGGGTATGGATGATGGACTATGGACTTGTCTCAGTGCTCTATTTCCAAGTCTGGCTTTATTAATCTTAATACAGGCTTTTTACTCTTGTACCACCCTGGGGATGTCATGTCAGGCAAACCTTTCCTGGATGGTTCCTTTTTCCCCGCTCTTCCCTGGATCCCTAGCTAGGTGCATATTTCTACCTGGGTTTCACATCTATCTCCCTGTCATATCCATACAGCCATGTGTGATCGCTGAGGGTATCTATATGTCACCCACGTGTACCCATCTCTACCCACAGCTCTAATTACTGCGTTTCCAACGTTGCTGTTTGTCATCTTCCAAGACTTGTAAAATTTACTACAGCTCCAGAGGGGAAAATAGTAAATCTCAGGCTAAATTTAGGTCTAGAGCTCATTTGAACTTTTACAGTGGGTTTTCTATTTATTTGATTTACTCCTGTCTTTGGCTTCGGTGTCATATTGTTGGTGTTTTATGGCCGGCTCCGGCCTGCAGTGGGCGGCGCTGCGTGCGCCCTCGCGTTTCTCTCGCAGGCGCGGCGTAAACAGCGGCGCTCATTTATTTAGCGCTCGAGGACGCGGTTTGTTCCGTTGACAGCGTAATTTAAAGAAATATATGGAGGGCTGAAAAATCATTTGCTCAAATTTGTCCAGATGTTTTGAGACGTGATTGGCATTTGATCGCCCCTCTCCGCAGGGTCAAAAATATTAATGTTCCCGACCTTTAATTGCTCACAGACCCTGGTTTGGGCTTTGAAGATTTAAAATGTTTGACTCTTAAGCATTTCTCCTCACTACAGAATTTCCTTTTTGGCACTTTGGTAATGAGTGCAAATTTAAGGAAAGACTTTTACCATTTCTCCCAATGATCAAAACCTGGCACCCACCCTCTTTGTAGAAGCTTTCTTCTCTAATGTACCAACTAGCAAGATGATACGTCTTTGTCAGTGGACTGGCCTCCTACCCCTTACTCTGGTGCCTGGTGGCGGGGGACTTGTTGTGCTTTATAAAAGAGAGGGGTACTTTAGGGAAAAATAAAAATAAAGCCAGTGTATAAACCAGAGAACAGGATCCCACACACAAACTCTTGGTATTTCCTTAAGGGATGGTTGTGACTGCCTCCCTCTTAAAACCTTATGAGGCTTTTCTTCTTCTTCTTCTTCTTCTTCTTCTTCTTCTTCTTCTTCTTCGGCCAGCAGTTTTTAATCTGGAGGGAGTCTGAGAATCATCTAAGGAGCTTTTCCAAGAAATGCATGCCTGGACCTATCCCCAATTCTTTGAACTGGAATGACTGAGGGAATTGGGATCTGGGAGTGTGTACTTGAGAACCTCTGGTGATTCTGAGGTATCTCTGGTTTAAGAACTAACCTATTTAGGTGAAAAGCTTCCTGCTTCTCCCTAGCTGTGAGGATGTGTGGGTATATGAAGAATGGAGACATCCCAGAGCGTAGAAAGACAACACTTACTAGTGTGTTCTATCCACCAGCTTTGAAATCCACCATTCTTTTGTTGAAGGAAGGATTTCCCCCTCTGGTTTAGTTACTACTCCTGGCCAAAGAGGAGCACTATGGCAAAGGATGCTCCAGGGTTCTGGAGGAGGTTCAGTAATCAGCCCTGTGTTACCTGATGGCTAGGCCAGGTGTTGCCAGATGTCTGTCTGGCCATACCATGGGGATCTAGGACTGCACTACTATGGGTTTGCTTGTCTTTTGAAGCCACAGGCTGGATACAGGCAGGTGAACAGGAGAAGTTTGCCAACATGTGAAAGGGTACAGCTTTTGTGATGCTGTACTTCCTGCCAGCAGAGCCACAGAGCCAAGCCATTTGACCTGCAGGGCTAACCCCCTCCGATCTGCCTCCTATATTAAAAATCTCTCAAATAAGCTCAATCCATAGATAGGCAGGCTGGCAGGCAGGATTCCTAAAGCTGGGAGATTTCTCTAAATTGTAGGTGCCTAGAGGAAATAAAAACCTTCAACAAATAATAATCTATCCTCCCTAGTGTCTTAACAGTCCATCTTTAGGTTTTATTTAAACTTTGTGGAAATCCTTTTATATTGACAACAATTCTAGGACACAAAAATTTCAGGAGCCCACACTTGTGAAAAAAAGAAAGGGCAACAATTTTTTTTTTAAAGAATGAAAAAATTCTCCCTCCCTAAATACTACAGGTAAACAGGTTTTCCTTTTGAACGGAATCAGCATTCTCCTAGAATAAACAGCTTCTTGCCCCGGGTCATGCAAGATCCAGCAATCTGCTTCCGCGCCAGGGAACAGGCTTGTGTCTGAGGGGCCTAAATGTTTCAGGGCTTTTTGTGCCTGATCACCAACAGTCTGGAGAGGCAGGAGAGAGGACAGGGAAAATGGTTAAGAAGAAATGCTAGGCAAGAGCTAAAAAACTGACTATTCAAGGTCAAATTAGTTTCCAAAGCAGAATACATGCAGTCCCGGGAAGGCAGAAGGAAATACTGCAAGGAAAAAAAAAAAAAGCATGGCTTGGGGAGTGGAAGGGTTACATTACCTTCCCACCACCGCTTCTCTTCCAGTCCCAGCTGCTCAACAAGGGAGTGCGCTGAGAAAGGAAACAGAGCGGAATCGCGCACATTAGCCTCGCTCTTCTGTTGCCCGGAGCCTCTGGGCGTCTGTGAGCCTCTCCTTTCTAAAGCCAGTGGACAATGACACTAAGGGTGATTTTCTGTCTCCGCCCCATCCTCCTTACCCTTTGCAGGCAACTTTGTAAAGAATTTACGGATCTGCTGGCGCAGGACCGGACGCCGATAGGGAACAGCCGCCCCAGTCCCATCCTGGAGCCGGGAATCCAGAGCTGCCTCACGCACTTCAGCCTCATCACGCATGGCTTCGGCGCCCCGGCCATTTGCGCTGCGCTCACGGCCCTGCAGAACTATCTCACCGAGGCGCTCAAAGGCATGGACAAGATGTTCTTGAACAACGCCTCCACTAACAGGCACACGTCTGGGGAAGGCCCAGGTAGTAAAACTGGCGACAAGGAGGAGAAACACAGGAAATGAAAAAAAAATTTTTTAAAAAGAAGGAAAAATGTTTTAAATACAAAAGGAAAACAAAAAAAATAATTTTAGCTTTAAAATATTGGATTGGCTTTGGAAGAATTATATTAGGTAGAGTACACATACAATCAAAAATTTAAAAAAAGCTAAATAACTTAAAAAAAAAACTGAGGCGTACAACGGAGCAACAATATCGGTTCTCGGTGTCTATTTCAAGATACACTTGGAGACAACCGTCCGGATTTTCCACTTCGGTTCTTTCGAGCTTAGTAATACTGATAATAAAAGAAAACTATGATTTCCCTCCCCCTCCCCCCTTTTGGAAAATAAACATAAGACTAAACATGAGAAAACGCTAACTTATTGGAAGAAAATTGGAGAAACGTTGGTGTCGGTGCTTTGAGAGCTGGTTGACTGAGACGCACGAACTTTTTAATTTTAAATTTTTTTCTTTTTTTTTAGGAATCTCTCGCAGTCCCCGCCCTCCATCTCACCTGATTCCCTCTCCCTGCCATCCTTTTCTACGTTGCTCTCCCTCCTTCACATTGTTACGGGAATCTTCTGGGATGCAAATGAGTGTGATTAGCCCTTTCACGTTGTTTTTGTCCTGTGCTCCCCCCCGCCCCGCCCCGCCCCGCGTTCCTAAGTCCGGCGCGCCCGGCTCCCCCGCGGTTTGCGTAATTAGGGAGGGAAGGGCGGGCGGGGCGGGGGGCCTGCGGGGTGCAGGCCAGGGCTGCCGCTTTCGGTGTCCGCCAGCCGAGCAGAGGCTCCGCGGCTGAGGAAAATCCTGACCAAATAAGTGGATTCAGACTCATCAGTTCCTTTTAGAAATGTTATTTATCAGTGCCCAGCCTTGCCAACATCTGCGTACAGACAACCTTGCATTTGTTACATTTGTATTTGTGTCATCTGCCAATTTTAAGAAGTATAGTAAAACAAATCAAAGCCATGAATACGTTGGTTAGCATGCAGTTCCTTCGCAGGGTGCGTACCATGTCTTTCTCTTCTGTTTCCAAAGCTTTGCCCGCATGGTTTAGGAGCTTCTTCAAAGAGGACTCGGGCTTCCCACACAATCTATAAGGTACTGAGAAAAAAATAATCCGATCCTTTTAAATCAAAACCCGTGTGTCAGAATTCCGCAGGGGCACTTCTTTAAAGAAGCTCAAAGGAATAATGCAGAAAGTAGCCAAGATGAGGAAGCAGCTTTGAGTCCATTTGCTAACACACCTCAACACCGGAATTCCAGCGGGGTCGGGCGCGGGGGTGGGGGTGGGGGGAAAGAAAGAAGGGTTCTAGATTCTAACAGTCCTGACTTAAAATGGATCCCACTCCTCCGGGCTCTTTGGTGATCACTGCTGCTTTAAGGGGAAAAGAAGCAGCTTTGCCGGTGGAATTGGGGAAGAGGGTGGCGCGAGCCGCCGACGTCTTTTCTACAGCATGTTTTACGAACGAGGCGTTTTTCCTTTCTCAGACGTGCGCTTGTTTTGGCATAAGATAATGCAAAGTGAAAGGAGAAGTTGAAAAATTCGGCTTTGAATTTTACCTTGACAATAATCCTTCCCAGTGGATAAAGTTTCATGGATTGAAGAGTTTTTCTGGCAGCCCAGCTCCTTTCTCAGGCTCCATCTTAGCATTATCTTGAAATAAAATCGGAAATCCATTGTGCACCTTCCCAAAAAAGCAGTGAGAAATCACCTGGGTTGGTGATTGGTGGGATAGGTCTATGAATTGAGTGGAGAACAAAATAGGCAGGACCTTTGAAACATCCACTGAAGATAAAGAGTTAGATATGGTTAGATATGGTATTTACAGATAGCACCCATGCAAACTTCTTGGATTCTCCTGATGACAGCTATGCTCAGACACTTTATTGGGGCGGGAGGGTAGGTGACTGGTTTCAGGTCACCAGGAGAGGCCAAGCAACAGTTGAGGTCACATCGCAGCCCATCTCCTACACCTAAGTTCTTTTGGGAGCCTATGGAACTTTGAGGTCCCCAGCAGACCCGTTGAGAGAAGTAATGCGGCGGGGAATGAGACGTTATAGAAAAAGTTGGCACTCATCTCTTCCCAGTTCAGAAGCCCGCATCTTTGTCCAAGGGCCTGCATTAGATGTGTTCTGATTGCACGAGGCCTGGAGAAACCACACTGAAAACCATCGTCTCCTTTCCTTGCAGGGCAACGCGCCCCACGCGTGTGACGTGCGAGAGACGCGATGGACGCGCCTTGCTCTTACTGTGCAGGTGCTGAGAGCCTGTGGGCCACTCTGGTCCAGTCGTGTTGAGGACATAGAATCAGCTGCTGCAGGGGTCGCCAGCCGCACGGGCCCTTCTCCTTCTTGGTCTCACCCTAAGTTAAGGGCTTAGGCGACCGCGAAAGCCCCATCCTCCAGTAGGTAAAGGGGCAGCATCCCGCGGACTGCTGGCGGGGAGGGTCTCAGCTCAGTGTTAGACCATTACTACCAGTATCTCCCCAGGTGCTTACTCCCAGAGATGGAGTGGGCTAGGAATGCCCAAGGAATTCCAAGTTTCCCTATCTTCTCTTCTGCCAGGATGGAAACTCTCCCCACCCTCACACTCCTAATGGGGAGGGGTGGGGAGATAAGAGTGAGAATTGTCTTACTAAGCTAGGCAGGCCTCCCTGATGGTCCCAGGAGCCGTGCGCATCCCCCTCCCCCCACCCCACCCCCACCCCCACCGCGCAGCCCCGGCTAGGTAGAGTGAGCCCCCAGTCCCTTCTCCTTCCCTAACTTTTCCTTTCAAGTAGGACCCCGCCCCCATGCTTTCGTTAGCCAGACCCTCTACGTTTATCTGATAATTGAGTTATTAAAAGATTTGGTTTCCATGGGCTTATAAAGCAATAAACAGTAGGATTAACGCATGAGTTTGCCTTTTAAGCGAAGGAAAACGTTTAGGTCAAGACCCTTTGAGCTTTGTTTTCAAATCAAACAGGTGAGTTGCAGCTCTCTCCTTTCCCCAGAACCCTTTAGACATTTTATCCAAGCCTGCCTTGTCCTCTCCTAGTGCCCCCTCCTAAACCAAGGTCCCGAACTAGAACATCTAGGATAGAAAAGAGCTGTCAGGGCGTGGCAGCATCTACTACATTTTCCACTTTGCAAGTTCCCTTGGAGGTTCTAAACATCTCCAGATCATCCTCTGCCCAGTCCTGCCCCTCCTACTGGTGAGGGTCTGGGGGAGAAAACCATCCTGAAAAGATCTTCAGTCTCTCCCCCAGCTGAAAAGTAACTTTTCCTTCTTCTCTCCTCCCGAGTTAGCTGGCATTTTCTTTCCTTCTTTCTGGCCTCCATACTTAGCTTTCCCATACCCACATAAAGAGTGGAAGCGACTTTCAAAGACCTACTTTTGTTTTCTTTGGCCGAGGAAATCACTTTCAAGCAATCATTTTATATCCTATGAAAACTTTTGGTCGAATGGAAACCCTGAACTTACCTACACACCGTTCCTCCAGTGCAATGCTTTCCTAGTTGAGTGTTTATAGAAAATCTGTCATCACATCTGATACCCTGTACTTGTAGTACATGATGTGGAAAGGAAATAATAACCTTAAACCATCTGATGTTGCCTCAGAAGCCCCCAACAGTGTTTCTTCTCCTTTGCTGATGTATATTAAATTATTGGCTAAGAAAAGAGAAATATTGAAATTCGTTTTGTTTTCCTTTTTTTTTTTTTAACAAATGGAATGAACAGTATCCTTCTTTAAATACCAAAATTGACCCCTCTTTTGAGTTGGTCTCTAATTCAGTGAAATTGTTTTTGCCACACAATCAAGAACTATCAGTCTATTGGCTGTTCTGGAGAAGAGCTCTGGAGGGTATCCGTGTTAAGTTTGTACATATTTATTTATGCTTAATTTAATGGGAATGTGTAAATATGGCGAGCAAGTAGTTTGGGATTATTTATCTGTGAATCTATACCTCTGTGAATGGGTTGTTAACAAAACCTCTGACCCTAGAGTCCTATCTGAAATTTTCTGTTCTTTATAGACAAGCTGTTATGGTATTGGGTAGAAATTGGTTTATTGTCCAGTGTTGATCTGATTTACATAAATAAAAAGATTGTTGTGTTTTTGTTGTGTTTTCATCCTTCACCTTCTTAAATATGGGTATTGCTTAATTGTAGACAGAAATTGTAGAAAAAAGCATTTTTTTTGCCCCCCTCACTGAAGTACATAAAGCATTTTTGTTACAACAGGAATACAATAAATTTCACTTATCAGAAAAATGAACACTTGTTTTCAGTAGTAGGTGCTTTTTTAGTTTTTAAATTCCAAATCAGTATTTTTTTCACCTGCTTCCAATCAAATTGAAGATAAATGTTCATGTTAACTGCATCTTTTGGGTTATTTTGCCCTCAAAGAGACAGGAGTCAAATTTACTTCCCAGGTAACTAAAGGATTCTGGTTTCAAGTGAAAGAGGATGCTGCTCTTTCACTGCTAGTGAGGTGACAGGAAAGCCCACTGACACTCCCCTCTGAGGTATGCTGGGGTGTGTGTGCAGAAATCTGCAGGGTTTGGTGTGGGCTCCTGCACTCCTTGATGACCTGAGATCTGGAGGAATTAACTGGCCCACTTCAGAACTGAGTCAGTAGCACAAGGCCCTGCATAAAAAAATGAGGGAAAGGGTCCCTTGCTTAGGAAGAGGAAAGAGTTGCATATGTCTTAGGAGGCTGTCTCTTACCTTAAGCTCAGAGGCTGGTTAGAAGAAGCCAGCTTCTCTCATTTGAGTCACTGGCCTTTGGCTCATCCCTGATGAGCTGCAGTGACTAAATGTCTTGATCTGTATTTTACCCCAAAGTTGGGGTATCTTCCCTGAGGCCAGGGAAGCAAAGTCATCTGAAATGTCATATAGTTTGGATAAACCATTGCTTCTTTTCTGGCCTCAAGCTCTTTATCAGTAAAATGTGGACCTCTGAAGGTCCTTTCCTCCACCAGCATTGTCTAGTTTAATTCTAAGAAGTGGAAACAGCAATGTGCAAATGCATTTAAGGAGTAACAGAAGTGTTAAGTCTTGATGATCTCTTACTCTAGAGTACTTGAAATATAGCTGGTGCTCAGTTAAATAATCCTTTGATTTTCATATGGCTTTTTTTGTTTTTCAGGCCAGTCTTTTCTAGGTGGGCTTCCCAACAGGGAAAAGTAGAAGGAACAATGCACTCTGTTTTATGTGAGGTCCCCTCTTCTTGTCTGGCTATTTAATTTAAAAGGGGGTGAGTGGGTATCATGGTTACAGCTATAACAATAGAATCAAGAAAAGAAAAAGGAAAAGAAGCCAAGGGAGCAAAGAAAACCAAGGGAAGTGTGACTGGGAGGGCATACAGTCTATTTAGCTTA